ACATTCTAGCCATATCTGCACCTTTTGAGTGCCTAATTAAGTATACTACCTATGTACTAGGTGCTACACTAGATGCCATACCTGTAACCCACTATTACTTGAGCTACCCAATTAAACCCTCTGATCTGAGTTTCCTATATCAATCCATCTAACGAATAATTATTATATAAATATTATATAGTTTAAATTTTATATGTAAATTTTTATAAAAAATTACAAACTCAGTAGATTTATATAAGAAATTTGATATAAAAAATATAGTTTGTAATATGTGAAATTAATAAAAATAAAACAAATTTATCTAATAAATTTGTCTTATTTTTATTGATTTCCTTTATATATAATATAACAAATTATATAAGTACAGTCAAACCTTTCTATAGTCACTGCTCTATAGTTATATTTGTTTATAATTATATAAAATGTAAAAACTAACTTATATAGCACTTATAAAATTTACCCTTTATATAGATATAAACACTTTATAAACATTGAATTCTTGAAACCAAGAGAGTGATTATAAACAGGTTTTGATTATACTACTATATATTATATTATAAATAAATTAGTATTTATTGTCGCATATATAAAAATTTAAATGATATATTGAAATATACAAATATATATAAACAGTCTTCTAAGTAGAGATATACAAATACAAGTTTTTTTAATCTGATATTATATAATACAATATTATGTAACATAATATATTATACAATTCTGCACAAATTATATACAATATATTTAAATTTTAATATATAAAAATATATCTAGTATACAAAACTTTCAAAATAGTAAACCTAAATCCAAATACAATTACAAAATTTTTATAAATTAAATAAAGTTTTTTAAAATTACTAAATACAGTTAGACCTTTCTATAGTTACCTTCTTTTATAGTTATATTTGCTTATAATTATATAAATTTTTAAAGCCAACTTATATAGCACTTATAAAATTTAACCTCTATATAGGCATAAATACTCTATAAGCACTGAATTCTTGAAACCAAGAGTGTGGTTATAGAAAGGTTTGACTATAGTTTATTATAAATCAAAGAATATATATACGTTTATAATAAATCAAAGAATATATATACTTAATTTTTTATTTTATAACATAATCTTAGTTATATACTAGATCCAAATCTTGTATGCGTATACAGTCAAACCTCTCTGCACTCTTGGTTTCAAGAATTTGGTGTTCATACCTATATAGAGGTTAAATTTTATAAGTGCTATATAAGTTGGTTTTAAAAATTTATATGATTATAAGCCAATATGACTATAGAGGAGGTGACTATAGAGAGGTCTAACTGTATACTTTTACAGTAATTAATTTGTCTACATAAATCTCAAAATTAATAAATTAATATTTAATATATAGAATGTTTTAATCTAAGCTATTTTAGTTCATTAATTAATATACTAATTTTATTTTATTAAAAAATAAAATTTTAATCAAATTATATAACTTTTATGTGCATTGTTAAATTTTAGGCAACTTGCATTTCATTACGCTACATTATGCAGCATGTAAAATTCTTCATAATGCATATGGCACCTAAATCTCAAAACTCGTAAGGTTGTGAAAAGGAAGTTTTGTGGCTGTAAAAATAGTGTTCCACAATTGGTGCATAGCCGAAATCGGTATGTATCGGTATAATTAGTATGATGTACCTCACATGTGCCTGCTGCCAGTAGCAGGTTAAACGGGTCGGGCCCACGGGTCGGCCCGTAGGCCCGGCCCATCTAACCATAAAGACATGCTACTAGCAGCAGGCACACGTGAGTGCATTTGCCGAAAGTGGGTTCATCATACTAATTATACATACTGATTTCGGCTACGTGGAAAACTACAGCCCACAAAACTTCAGAAATCGTACGGGCTTTTTTTCCGAACCCTATATAAATTATATATAAATTAAGATAAATTCGGTAATGCCTTGTTAACATTGTTATCATATAATCGGTATAGTATGATAGAGTGCTGCAGAGAGAAAATGGAAAATCTCATTGAACTTCCATATATACTGTGCCTCAGATTAAAACTTGCGTCATATCATCCTAAACAAAATTTTGCAGCTAGACAAAATTCAAGATCAGGTGTAACGTAGCACGATCAGGAAAATTCTCATCCGATGCGCGGTTCATAAAAAAAATTATTTCACAATATTGGATCACTTGCCGTCAATGTTATTCACCTGTTGGATATTTAGCACCATTGACAGTTCCTCTTGTTGAGGCTGTCTTTTGCGCATTAATAAAAAAATTTCCTTGTAAAATTTTGGTATAAGTAATATATTTAACTCCAATTTAATGGCAAAATCCTAACCCTAACCTAATAGCACAAAATTTTTACAGCGAAATATATAGTTTGAAATTTGGGTGGCGGTTTCACTCCTGATTAATCAAGACTCTAACGTGTCATCTGACGCAATCTAATGCACAACATATATAATATACCTAAATATATATTTACTAATAGCGTTTTCTAATTTCAGTATTTTTTTGACTATTTGTCAAATTAAAGCTGACCATAATAATGAATTTCTAAGATCCAGATTTTAATCTGGAAGCATTAAATTTTTTGACTATTAATAGTTGGACATAAGATGGTCCTTTACAAATGTTCTTTTATCTATAAATACTCTATGTCTATAAATACTCTTTATATCTATAAATACTCATATTTTAAATCATTACATGTGAAGTAAATACTACAAGAGCAGTTCAGTTCACTAATTTGGTTTCAACAATCCATCTAACTTAGTATATCCATAATTGGTTTAATTATTCCTGGCTCAGTGATAAATAATATCATTCAGGTGAATTTCCAAGCTAATAAAAAAGCTTTAATTCGACTCCGCTTCGTCTTCTTGTAAATTTTTTGATCATAATACACCAACATTGCATAATGGTTATAGTAGAAAAACTCCGTTTTCTTTCACTGTTATTAATATGCTTATTTATCTATACAATTCAACCATTAATCGTTCATGCACAACAGTCGTATGGAAATGACGCTACAAGCATACCAGACGTGCCATCAAAGTGGACTTGTAATGGAACAGATTTGGATATTCGAACTTATGATGGAACTTGTAATAATCTTGAAAATTCAAATTGGGGGGTTCCAAATAGGGTTTTTGATCGAGGAAATTTTTCTGCCATTTATAAAGATAACTTTACTGGTGAACCTATAATAAGGATAGATGCTAGAATGATTTCAAACATGTTATGTGATAGCGGTCAAAGTCCTGTATTCTCTGGAAGCCCTTTGACTGACGATATTTTGTCCTCAACGCGAAATTCAATGTTCGAAGTCGTAAGTATTGAAAATAATACTAATAGTTAAAAATCTATTCACGTGACGTCACATGGTGAATTCTTTCTTTTTTTTTTTAAAAAAAAGTTTTTTGGTCAATTCGTTAACCATGATATTGAAGACGCTGCTCTTCAAAACGGGCCACAATTTGCGATAGGTGACGTTACTAATGATACGATCTTTAGTAATGCAGCAAGAAACTTATTTAACCCTTCTCAAACAAAATGTAAGCATCAATCATTAATTCATATACAGAATAACTAGTATGTAGTAACAATTAATTTCGTTTTATATTCTTACAGTCATGACATTATCGCTCTCATGGGGTCGTATAGTAAATTCCACTTTATATCCAGTCAATTTTGCTAATTCTTACCTCGACCTATCGTCAATATATGGCGTTGATAATGCTACAGCGCGAAAACTTCGAACTTTTAAAGATGGCAAATTAATTACTGGAGATTTCATAGGAAATGGTGGTGCTTATAACACTGCACTAAATAACGTATCTATAAAAAATTTTGCACCAGCTTCTGGCAAAGTAGGTCTTTCTCCTCATCTTTTGCCGCCAGAAATTAAAGTAGATGATGGGCTTGTTAGTGGCGACTTGCGTTGTTCAGAAAATATTCAATTGTGCACTATGCATACAATTTGGATTCGTGAACATAATTATTGGGCGGAAACAATAGCACGTGAAAGACCTGAATTGACAGACGATGAGACTATTTTTCAATATGCTAGAAAAATAGTAATTGGAGAATATCAACATATAATTTTTGAAGAATATTTACCCTCAGCGCTTGGTGTTGAAATGCCACCGTATTCGGGTTATGACCCAAAAATAAATCCCGACACGACAATTCATTTTGCTGGTGTTGCATTCAGATATGGTCATTCAAATACTCGACCATATGATCTCATCGACGGATGTACTGGTCGACCCTTTGATCCTCATCCTAGTTTTAAATTCCCCGAGTCTCATTTACATCGGCTTTATTTTATGGGTAAATCTGTTAGAATCCCAACACCAGCTCAAGGTTTAAACTATACTGATGGACTGCTTGATTATACTCCTGTTAGGTAATTAAAGTTTTTATCACAAATTAAAACTTTGTATGCTTTTAATATAACTATATTTAATTTGGATATAGAATTTTAACTTTAGCTTCAGGAACAAATGGAAATGGTGTTGATAATATAATCGTTAGCATGTTGAGAGCAACATCTGCGGAGTTCGATTTAGAATTTTCAAGTACATTACGAAACATGCCTGGTGTTATTGATCTGGCAGCCGTAGACATTGCTCGAGGTATGTATAATCTTATTTCATATCATATTAATAGTACTGCACTTAAATTATTTCTCTCCACATCAAAAGGTCGTTTACTCGGTCTTCCGGATTATGACACATTCCGTGCTGTATATCATCCCGCGGGAAGCGTTTACAGCAATCCAAATTGTACTCGATCAGACGCGCAAGATTCTGTGAACTGCTTTAATATCATTACTAATAACATAACAATTGCGACAAAATTACAAAAAATTTATGGTAAAGTCAATCGGGTAGATGCATTCATTGGAACTTTTGCTGAGAGTAAAAATGAAAACGCTCCTTTACCACCAACAATTACCGCAATGATAAGAGAAGAATTTCTTCAAAAAAGAAGCTCTGATAGATTTTGGTATGAAGGATCAAAATATACAACTGATGAAATTGAATTGATTAAACAAGCTACCATGAGAGATATTATCATGAGGAATACAGGTGTTCGAAATATACAAAATAATCCATTTAAATCAGATAATTCGGGTAA